GCTGGGAATTGAACCCACGACCTTCGGAATTGTACTACCGATGCTCTACCAGCTGAGCTAGAGGTCAGACTGAGAGCAGGCTGGGGTGAAATAGATGTCATCTATTTGTTACATCTATTTGTCGGCGTTCCATCTTTCATTTATTGCAGTGCAATGTAATACATGAAAGATGGAACGCCGACTGCTGTAACAAAAGTAGGCATGTCAGTAGACAAATTAGGGCGTGGTAGCGAGACAAATTTTTGACGTGTCGTCACAGTTCGGTGAGATCCGTAGTATTTTTGCATGTACAGATCTTCAAGAGTTTTGGTCTTACAGAAAATGTATTGACTTACAAAAAAATTTTCAAAATTTACCTTAAAATTAGTCTTCAAGCTTTAATCTTTTTCTGTTTTTTACTTCTTCATTTTATCTTTGGATACCAAACAAGGTATTGTTAACATTGTCTGATCAGCCTTCAGCAAAATAAGTGGGTATTAATACCCTCTGGTTACCTCCCAAAGACACAAAGTATTATGGGGATGTGAAAGTAGAGAATAAAATAATTCTGTTAAATTTTTGTTAAGGAAAAGATACTGTAACGTTAGGAGTCTACTTAATATCATTGAATATTTGAATGTTAAAAGTTTTCATATATTTGCAATATACCAATGAATCAATACTGAAAATATTAAGTTAGAGGTGCCATCTGTCAATCAATCAATCAATCAATGATTGGAACTATATAAATGTATGGAACTATTAATAAATGTAGAACTAAATAATGTTTAGAACTAAATAAATGTAGAGAACTAAATAGATGTAGAGAACTAAATAAATGTATGGCACTAATATTAAATAATTTAATGTATGGCACTTAATATTAAATAATTTTATGTATTCATAATCATTTGTTTTATCAACCATTAATTCAATAAATATGTTCCGAGCTTTCGGCCTACTCGCCCATCCTCAGGGAAATGACAAACATTACAATTGATTTTTCATTTTTCATTTCCCTGAGGATGGCTGAGTAGGCTGAAAGCTYGGAACATATTTATTGAATTAATGGTTGATAAAACAAATTGTGTGCCGCTAAATATTAAATGTATGGCACTAAATATTCAATATTAAATGTGTGGCACTAAATATTCAATGTGTGGCACTAAATATTCAATGTGTGGCA